GTATATATAAAATTTTAATCGTTCTCCTCCAGCTTTTAGTTGTGAGCCAAAGAAAAGCACGAGGCAGCTTGGTCATGCTCCAGACTGTGAGGATACGTTGATGAAGAGCCTGCAGCTGAGCACTAGTAGTGAACATTGGGGAAATTTGCTTCCCTGGAAACATAATTTTCAGGGATAGTTAAGGTACTGAAAATGCTGAGTCATCAGTAATGGAAGTCATTGTTGATGGCATTTACCAAAAATAACACCGGAACACCATGAAAAAAGGTATTTTTCTTAACCTCAACTGCTTAGCTCTTGAACATGTATCAGAAAATGAGTGCATTTTTCTTTCTCTTCTAAAGAAGTGTCACTACTTGCAGGAGTAATGGCAGTGTGTATCTGCTGATATATACCTGCATCAGCTTTCACTAGAGCACCCTGCACTCATAAAGAGCTGGAGAAAAATATATAAATAAGATGTATTTTGAAAGCACACTACTAAGTCTATGATAGAATTCAGATTTGATTATACTGAAGCCCTATGTAGTCTTCCTTCCTGATCCTTCTTCAGGGATTGTCCTGTGATAATGCAAAGATCCGAGCCACTGTTTGACCAGGAGGCTGCGCTTGGACCACTGTGCATTGAATTTCCATTTCCCGCAGTGTAAGGGGATGGCGGCTATAGTTCTCGCCAACCTTGATGCATTCAGCTTGAAGTGAATCAATACAAGTTCAAATGGGTTTGCTAAACTTGAGTCCTCTTTCTGGAGAGGGATTCCAAAAGCTTGCTTCTGTAAAATATGTATCAGTTTGGTAATTCCTCTCCAAGATCTTCTTTGCTTCTTTCTATTAATATGATTGATTAAGATTTTCCTTTGTCAAGTCTCCAAAAAGAGTCATAAATAGAAAATCTGTATTATTTATCAGAAATTTTCTGCAGGGATTGGTGGCATAAATGAAGAGAACCATATATTTGTTCAGATATATCAGGGGCTGAACAGTGTCTGAATTCAGAAATTGATAAACCTCTCCTGAAGAATATATAATTCTATGAATTCTCATGAACATAATTTTGAAGGATGAAAAATAAAGATAAAAACTAAAAAAATTAGGTAGAGAAAATAGGAATCAAGGGTGACAAACAATAAACTGTTAAATATATACATTTGTATATTTGTACATATGTGTGTAGATACATATACACATGTGTATTTATACACAAGTATTTAAAGAATAAACACTATTGCAAGGGTTTTTGATGTACAAATTGCATGTTTCCTTTTACATTAAAGCATGCTAGAAAAGTGAGTTAAGTAAAAAAATAAATTTTACATATAAACTGGGTGTCCCAAAAATGTATACACATTTTGAATAATTATAATAATTCCAATGGGTTAAATCTGGAAAAAAAACATCAATTGAACTTTCAGCTATTAGAGTGTGTATATAAATTTTTGGGACACCCTGTATATGTATATGTATTATGAAAATAAGTACGTGAAAATCATGGTTTTCCTTTTTCTTCAAAGTTAGCCTTGAATTGTGTTTTTCCTTGACCCATTTAGTCGCCAGTTCTTCCCAATACAGATAAAATGGTCCTGATACAATTTTTAGTGCCTTTGTCTTCTTTGCTCTTTGGTATGGCTTGCAGTTAGGAGTATGTTGGTCAGTAACCCATTCAAAGTTATCTTTCTGATGCCTTACTTTTGGGGACTACTCTTAAATTAGGCATAAGACATTTTCTAGCAAAGGAGGTGACATTTCACTTCTTTAAGATCAAGTAATAACTCATTTTGTGTGGGAAAAGGAATATTCAGTATATGGCTTAGAAAATGTATGGCCACCTGTCTTTTGTTTCCCGGCCAATGAAAAGAATGATTTGCAGCTTTTAAAACAAACTTGTATTAAATTATACTATGTGCTGTTTACTTTATATGCATTGTCTCAATCATTAAAAAGTCAGGAAAAAGCAGCTGTCATTGTTATTTTCCTTAAAAGGAAACTGTAGCTCAGAGACTTAAGTAACTTGGCCACAATCACACAGCCAAGTGTTCCAGGACATTAGACCACACCCTTTCATGAGTCCTTCCTTCCCTTACTTGGCATTCTATTTGAATGAGGTAGGTTATTCAATTTTGAAAAATCTTAACTTCACGAATCCATAACCAAAGTAAAGCAAAAAAGCAGGTAACAGACTTGACAGGCTATAATATTCTCAAGGACAGGAAATGTAACTTCTGTTTCCTTTGTAGAGGTTAGAAATGTACAGGGTGTGGCAAACGTATGTTTACAGTTGTTCTTATGGAAAATAATACAATAATTAATAATAATACAAGAATAAACTCGGTACGCACAACTGTAAACCTACTTTTGTCCCACCCTATATAGACTACCTGGGCTTATATAGTCACTGTGCCTTTTACTAGCACAAAAAAACAACAGGTCACTAACCCCTCTCTGAGACTTAGTTTATTCATCTATACATTGGAGGAATAATAGTATGTATTTAATAGTGACACTGTGCAGATTAAATGGGATAATAAGTAAATGCTGAATACATTGTCTAGCACATGGAAAGCATCTGTAAATATAAGCTAAGTTTCCACATGATATTGTTATTAAAGTGATAGTGAGAAAGAACATGACTAGAATGTAATGACCAAGAGACTTGTGACCCAAAGAGTGTTCTCCAAAGTGGCTGAATTAGCATCACCTGGAAACTTGTTAGAAATGCAAATTCATGGGCTCTACCCCAGACCTACCAAATTGCAATCTCTGGGATGGAGCATAAAAAGAGAAATATAGATATATTTTTATCTCAGAAATATTCTGCTTTTTTAAAAATTTATTTTTGTTTTGTTTTTTGTTTGTTAAGTGTTTGGTTTTAAAGAACTGCCCTGGGAAGAAAACAAAGGAGAGTAAAAAACAAAACATAGTGAATTGGTTCCATTAACGTATGTCACACTGCAGACTATCAAAAGAGAATTTGGTAGAATAATGGCCAATATTGCACTGTGATTCAACACAGTATAGAGAACAATTACACAATAATTGTTTCTATTTTTTTCTCAGAAAATGCACATTAATGTGCTAATTAAACTTTAGTCATAAAGATCCAGCTTGCTAACTTTGCCATTATCATGATCATGGTCATCGCCAAGTACTGTTTAAGCATCTATGATGTTGGCGCATTATGCTAAGATGTGGCAATTTATTAAAATTATGCAACATATATATAGATAGGGAAACTTATAAGTTGTGAGTACTAATTAACATTTTCCAATTTTAAAGTCTTTATTTATACTAGAGAACAAGGGACATCTGAGGAAGAACATGCTCTGTCAGACCTGAGTGACCATGGATAACGTCTAGCATCAGAACATAGCGTTGTTTAACTCCAGCACAATGTTGTTTACTGAAGATGTGCTCAATGAAAGTTGTTGTTGCTGTTGTCATAACTATTATTGTTATTGCTATTACATTATTATTATTATTATTATTATTATTATTATTACGTATCTTCAAAGATATATAAGCAGGTGAAGGACAACCCCATGGTGACAAGCAAGTACCTATGTCATCTTCCAGACGCACAAAAGGAGGTTAAAATATTTTCTCTGTCTCCAATTAACAAACACTCAAAAAATAGAGCGACTATTTTTAGAAAAGCAAACCTTAAAGAAAAGTGTCTCTTAGAAACCCAAAGAAGCAAGCACACAACGCCAGTCATCACGACACTGCACAAAACGCTCCTCCAGCAAACATTTTCACTTAGTAGTCAGTGCTTTGACTTAAGAGGGCAACATTTTCATTGCAAAGTGCTCATAGCTTAATGGATTCTGCTGTGAGCAAATTAGAAAAAAAGAAGTGAGAGAAATCACGGCCTCTACATTTAATTAAACTTCTTCAGGTTGTTAATTCTTCTGCAAGTTGATTAATAAAAAGTGTAGGCTACCACACTTTCTAAACTGTGACTATATGTACTCAGTTATGGTATAATCATACAGATTATTATAACTTGCTAAAATAACTCACTTTGTTCTTTAAAAAATGTTGCATCTTAAAGCAAGAGAAATATTGAGTCTAAATCTACCTTAATTCTTCTAAGAGAAGTGAACCAAGGTTGTAAGAGCAAAGGCTCTGGCTTCCTCAGACAGAATAAGGTTCATGCCCAGCTGCATCACTTAATCACTGTGGACCCTCGTGTAAGCTACTTAGCCTTCCTGAGGATCAGTTGCTTCATCTGTACAATGGACTTCATTTGTATGAAGATTTTACACAAGCTTCCCACAAACATCAGTACCACCACTGAATTCAAAGATCCTACTTCTTTCCTTCCTGATATTTGGACCCATATAATATGTTCCTTATCCTAATTTTATTTTTAGTGCTTTAGGCAGAAATATAAGTCTAATACAACATTGAAATTTATCTTCTGAGAATATTAAAGTGAACCACATTACTTGAAGAATATTCATTTTGGCATATTTGGTTATGTTTTCATTTTTTAAAAGAACAATGAAGGCTAATTCTTTGGACTTCAAAAAAGGTTTGTTTTTCTTAAGTTCTGGGAAAATATGGCCAAAGAACACCACATCTTTGGGAACAACAGCAAAAGACAAAAACAGATCATCACTAACAGAAGCTAAATTACACAGCGGAGTTGAGCTCCTAAGATAAAATTGATTCTGCCATGATAAAAATGGAACAGGACCAAGAGATGACAATGAGAATCGTTTGAGTACTTAAGAGACCACTTTAACAATGGGAGTGCATTCGAATCCTAGCATCATCATTATAGGCTCATTTTCCCTGTTCGGTTCCCTTGATAAATGCCTAAAAAGAGGCACTGGCATTTTAAATTGCTCAGTCTTGATAGCTGAATTCTCTTTTTCTTTTCCTTTCTTAGGCAACAATATTTTCCTCTAGGACTAGAAGAATGGTTTTGAGAGCAGCACTGTGACTGTCTAGTGAAGGCCGCACCATGGGATTAGGGCACTGGCAGGGGAGAGAGTTACCTGTGGGCACTTGCTCCAGGTTCCCCACTCGGACATGACGCATTCACTGGGGCACAGAAGTGAGCAGGGCTGGGTTTCTGGGGGCATCTCATCCTGGTTGCAGAGGCTGCTATTTACTGCCCCACCTTCCCTGGAGGCCGTGTTCACACATCTGTGAGGCAAGACCACAACATAATGTGATTACTTCAAGCAGTAGAGAGTACATTTAAAATAGTCATGAGGTATCATAGTTACTCCTCAAACATAACATAAGATGAGCAGAGAAACCAGGAAAAAAATTCCAGTGGGCCTTCCCGGAGTGATAACTCTGTGCTGACCCCTTTATTCCGCAGAGCAGGAAAGATAAACAGGGACCAGAGATAACTACTGTCCTTGAACACCTCTCACTCTAAAGAGACCTACAATATGTTTGCTCAGGTCCAGCACAGAGTGAATTTTCTTTTTATTGTAGCAAATCTTGAAGGCGCTCCTTTTCAGAATGAACCCATCACTTTGTAATAGCCAGGACCTCTGGTTGCCATGATTCCCTCAAACCTTCCCTAGACTTCTATCTCCTATCATATCATCTATGCCTCCCTAATCTGTGTCCAACACATTTAAGGTCAGGACAAAGTAAAGTGAATATTAATTGAACATGTTTTTCTTTTAGGTGTTTTCTGTAAATCAATAGGAAGTTTTGATTCAATAAACCAGGGGTCCTCAAACTACGGCCCGCAGGCCACATGCAAATACAAATATTGTATTTGTTCCCGTTTTGTTTTTTTACTTCAAAATAAGATATGTGCAGTGTGCATAGGAATTTGTTCATAGTTTTTTTATAGTTTTTTTTTAAACTATAGTCCGGCCCTCCAACGGTCTGAGGGACAGTGAACTGGCCCCCTGTTTAAAAAGTTTGAGGACCCCTGCCATAAACCAAAGGACAATGAGCAAGCATTTTTGTGCACAAGATACAGATGCACACATTATAGTTGTTTGGACTCCCCGGTGTCGGGCTTTGAGATAAATGCTGGTGAAAGTTAAATAAATGATCATGATGTTGATACCATCAAATGAAAACCCAAGTCTTATACCACTATGTACATCCACCAGAATGGCTTAAATAAAAACAAAAAAATATATATCAAAATGTTGGTAAGAATGTGGAGAAATTTTTACTCTTCTAACTCTGCTAGTTGGAGCAGAAACTCTTTGGTAAATTAGGTGACAATATCTACTAAAACTAAACATATACATACAGTGTATTCCAACAATCCCAATTTCATATTCCTCTGCAAAACAAATGTGGAAAAACATGCGCCATATGATGACTGAAAATGTTCATGGCACCACTATTCATCATCAGCCAAACTAGAAACAGTTTACCTAGACCCGTGGTCAGCAAACTGCGGCTCGCGAGCCACATGCAGCTCTTTGGCCCCTTGAGTGTGGCTCTTCCTAAGCCTTAGGAGTATCCTAATTAAGTTAATAACAATGTACCTACCTATATAGTTTAAGTTTAAAAAATTTGGCTCTCAAAAGAAATTTCAATCATTGTACTGTTGATATTTGGCTCTGTTGACTAATGAGTTTGCCGACCACTGACCTAGACTATGCAGCCAGCAACATAAAGTAAATACATTGTGATAAATTAACACAATTACATGGTATACAGTGGTGAGAATGCATGAACTATGGTTGCATATAGGAGCATGGGTAAAGCTTATAAATATAATATTAAACAAAAGAAGCTAGACACAAAAGAACATTCTTTATAATACCATTCATATAAAGTTAAATGGACAATACTCTTCCGTGGTCTCAGAAGTCAGAATAGTGATTACATTTGGGGTTACTGACTGACAGGGGCTTAGGTTGTCCTGGTAGTATCTTGTGTCTTGGTCTATGGGCAGTTACAAAGGTGTGTTCACATTATGAAAAGTCATCAAGCTATACCCCTATGATGTGATCTTTCTCTGTATTTATATTATACTAGAGGCCCAGTGCACAAAATTCATGCGGGGGGGGGGGCATGTGTCCCTCAGCTCAGCCTGTACCCTCTCCAATCTGAGACCCTTTGAGGGTTGTCCTACTGCTGGTAGGATTGGTCCTAAACGGCAGTCGGACATCCCTCTCACAATCGAGGACTGCTGACTCCCAACCACTTGCCTGCCTGCCTGATTGCCCCTAACTGCTTCTGCCTGCCAGTCTGATCAACCCCTAACCACTGCCCTGCCAGCCTGATTGATGCCTAACTGCTCCCCTGCCAGACTGATTGCCCCTAACTGTCCCCCCCTGCCAGCCTGGTCCCTCCCAACTGTCCTCCCCTGCCAGCCATCTTGTGTCCACATGGTGGTGGCCATCTTGTGTGTTGGAGTGATGGTCCATTTTCATATTACTCTCTTATTAGATGGGACTAGAGGCCTGGTGCATGAAATTCATGTACTTTGCGGGGGGGGGGGGAGTGTCCCTCAGTCCGGCCTGCGCCCTCTCACAGTCCAGGGAGCGGGCCTAAGTCGTCAATTGGACATCCTTGCTGCCACGGAGGCAGGAGAGGCTCCCACCACCGCAGCTGCGCTCACCAGCAGGGAGCCTGGCTTTTGGCTGAGCAGTGCTCCCCCTGTGGGAGCGTACTGACCCCCAGGGGACAGTTCCTGCGTAGAGCATCCGCCCCCTGGTGGTCAGTGCACGTCATAGCAACTGGTCATTCTGCCATTTGGTCGATTTGCATATTAGCCTTTTATTATATAGGCTATCAATTAGATTATTTTAAAAATATTTTCTCAAAAGTGTTTAATAATGACTTGGTATGTACAGGCTCTTTTGCTAGGTGTTGGTATAAAATGTTATTCTTTGTTAGTAATAATTCACTTAGTAAATATTTTTAAGGGTTTACAGTGCACCAGGCCCTTGCCTGGATGCTGGTGCACACAACGGAAACAATGACAGGCAGGATCTTTATTGTTACCAATATGTTCTTGGAGTGATAATGATCAGAGTAAAGGTGAAGATAACCATGATGATGGGATAAAAGGTGCCATTTGCTGGCCTGGTTATTTCAGACACAAGGCCACAGCCATGGAGAAAACATCTTAAGGGGGGTGTGCAGGAGAGCTTTTGGTACTCCCCAAATCATGCTGTGCTGAAGTGAATTGTTCTATGTAGTAGGAATCTTTTTACATATATATATTCATAATTGTTTAAAATTTTAGGAAAATTGTAGTCAATCACTAGGCACAAAATAAAATAAACTTTATTAGGTGCTAAGTAATGGGAAAGCAATGTACAAAGGAGGGTAGGAGAAAACAGCAGACAGAGAGAAGACATAAGTATGTAATGATTTCCTATATAGGGAGGCATGGTACAGAGTTATCCTTAGACTTTAATTTCTCCTGCAGTAACAGTCAATAGTGGAAGGAGGGACCACAAGGTGGCTTTTTTCTCTTTCCCTGGACAAATTTAAAGCTGGAAATTGCTTTTCATTTTAACCACATACTCTCAGCTGATTTTTTTTATCATTTCACTGAGAAGAGGTAAGGCTACTTCTTGTCAATGGTGACTAGTTGAACTTATGCATCAGTCTTTTTTCATCTCAATATGCCACAAAACAATATCAGATAATTTGTTACACACACACACACACACACACACACCGAGAGGGAGGGAAAGGCATTACCCTGTGAGGACAAAGAACAAGAAGACAAACGCCACAAAAGGAAAATGAATGGGCTAGTGCTAACTGCCTTACCACACTAGGAAAGCTGAATATGAATTCTTCAAGGAAAAACAAGAAAGTACCTCCATTTACACCACAGAACACATGAGCTATTTGGGAATTTGTGTCACTAAGTACACCTGAAAATATGAATGAAAGAGGCTGAAAAACTGGAGAATTTATTGAAAGTGTGTTTAAGTAGCCGGTCTCTGGGATCCCCTCCCCTAATCTACACAGCTCGGTGATAGTCCCTCTCTGCCAATGCAGGGAACTGAAAGTTTATTAGCTAGAAGGGGTCATAATGAGGGCCTTTTGATTAGAAAATACACAGTCCCTTAATATCATACTGAAAACAAAAATTTAAGTTAAAGGTAACACACTGTAAAATTACCACAAACTTAATGTCTCAAACAATGTAAATTTATTATCTGATCATTCTGAAACACAGAAATCCAGTGTGGATCTCACTAGGCTAACTCAGTGCTTTGTCAGAGCTACATTCCTTCCTGGAGCCTCTAGAGGAGAAAAAAAAAAACTATATCTATATATTAGAGGCCCGGTGCACAAAATTCATGCACAGGGGAGGGAAGGGGTTCCCTCAGCCCAGCCTGCACCCTCTCCAATCTGAGACCCCTTGGGGAATGCTGCCTGCCTGATCACCCCTAACTGCCCCCCCCTGTTGTCTTGGTTTCCCCAACTGCCCCCCCCCGCCAGCCTGGTTGTCCCTAATTGCCCCCCATGCTGGCCAGGTCGCCCATTACTGCCCCCACCCCGCCAGCCTGGTCACCTCTTACTGACCCCACTGCTGGACTGGTCGCCTCCAACTGCCCCTCCCCCGACAGCCTGGTGGCTCCTAACTGCCCCCCCTGCTGGTCTGATCACCCCACGCAGCCTGCTGCTCAGTTGTTTGGTCACCCCTCACTAAGCCCCCTGCTGGCCTGGTTGCCCTATGCAGCCTGTTTGGTTGTTTGTTCGGTTGTGATGGTCACTTAGGCATATACACTGAGTGGCCAGATTATTATGACCATCTAATGTTTGTAGGCAAATTAGCTATAATTTTGCGCTGAAGTTGCTAGAGGGCCAGACCATTATAAATAGGGAAGCAGGTTGTTTACCATGACAGAAGTGATTTTTTTCTGAAGATATGGGTAAACAATGCAATTTAACAGCCTTTGAACGTGGGATATAGACACACACACACACATATATACACATATACATATTTTTTTTACCCTTTTCAGGATAGCAAAAGGAATAATCTCCTTTTACCTTGCTCTAGAAGACTACATGATTTGAGTACTGGCACCAGCACATGGGGAAGCTTGTTATTTACCTTGTTAAACAAGCCCACAAGGTTTCTGGTTTGGATGCTTCTTCCTCCCTGGAATCCTCTTTCTCATTTATTTGGGTTCCTCCTCAAATATTGCTGGTCAACCTCCCTTAAATAGTATCTGTCATCTCTCTGACCCAATTTTATGTTTCTTCTTGGCATTTAGTAGCAAAGACTTTCCAATATATTTACTTATGTGTCTACTTTTTCTCTGCTACTATACTCTAATGTCTTCGAGGACAGGAACTGTTTGTTCCCCTTATCCCCAGTTCCTGGAACAGTGCCTGATCATAGAAGGCAAAGATTCAAAGGCTATTTTTTAAATTACTAAGTGATAGCAGTCATGCATGAACCATGAAGATGTCCTCCAGTCTGTAGGTTTTAAGAAAGAGAACAGATAAGCCGTTTCATGTATTACAACAGCATGCTATTGCCCTTGCTGGTGTTGTTCAGTGGTTAGAGCACTGACCCGAGCATGGAAGGGTCATGGGTTCTATTTTCGGTCAAGGCCATGAACCTGGGTGTCAGGTTTCCATCCCCAGCCCTGGTAAAAGTGCATGCGGGAGGCAAACAATCAATGTGTCTCGCTCAAATGAATGCTTCTCTCTCTGTTACCCTCCCTCTCTCCCTTCTATTCTCTCTAAAAATCAGTGAAAAAAATATCCTCAGGTGATGTTTAAGAAAAAAAAAAGAGCATGCTATTAAACTCAATAATGGTTGCATTGCAAAATTCCTGGAAAATCCGCTTCACATATTTACCAGTAAATGTGATCATGCACATAAATCACATGACTCAGTGAGTATGTGTGAGTTAGCAAGGGATGTCATAACAAAACGCCAGGGACTGGGTGGCCTGAACAGAAATGTACGTTCTGACAATGTGGAAGTTAGCAGTAGAGGGCAAGGTGTTGGCAGCATCGGTTCTCCTGAGGTCTCCATCCTGGGCTTCTGAGTGTCCCTCTTCTCACTGGGTCCTCACCTGGTGTCTTCCTCTGGGTGTGACTATGTCCTAATCTCCTCTTCTTATGAGAAACATGGCAACACGGTCAAATCTCCTAGTTTGTTAACAGTGATGGCCAGGAGTCAGCGGAGGGATGCCAGCCGCTCCATGCCATCGGCTGCCCACCAAAGGCATTGGGGGGAAACGGTAAGGATGGTGGTTTCATTGCTGAGGAATTCCCACCCCCTTTTGGCAGTGGAGGGCACATGTGCTCCATGGATTCTTAGAGATGAGCAAAAGCCAGAGTACACTGTGTGAAAGTCAGAGTGTGCTTGGCAAACAACGCTGTTGTTTTTACAGAAATGCCGAAGCCCCACTGCACCCTTCCCCAAATGCCTCCGTTCCACACACCTGATTTTCCTAGATTGCGTTCCTCCGCCACAGCGCAGGGGCCTCAGCTCGTTGTGGATTCTGCATGGGGACCAGTGTTCTACAACCCAGGAATACTGATTGCACTCACTGTAACACGGGACTGCCTCATGCACCTGTGAAGAACAGCAAAGGGGGAAAAAGTATGTTAAACTACCCAAGTTATAGAAAAAATGCCTCTCTTTTTGCAATGCCTGCTGAGCATAATCTGAGAACTACACTCTGGTCCAAACGGCCAATTATATCCCTCAAAGCAAGATATATTTGGCTTCTCTGAAATTACGGATTTGCCTAAAGAAATATACCAGGGAAATCAACTAAGATATGAGGGTATGCCTTTGCAGAAGAGAACAAAGGACAGTCATTACCCATCAACGAGAATAGGGATTCCATTATCATTTCGTTTCCTCAAAGAGCTCACAGAGCATCTATTAGCCGGTTCAGCTCTCAATTATATGGTGTATTGTATTCTCAGATGTACTTTAAGATGTCAATTGAAACAAATACATGGAAGGGAAATTTACTCCTGAACATAACAGGTTTTTAGAATGCATAAGAAAAGTGGTATTTTTGCACCGAAAATTTCTTTTTAGGCTCCCAAATGATCAGTGCTAGCAGGCAATCATCTAGCCTCCTGGGCATCGTGGCTTCATCTGAATGTAGCTCTTTGTAGGATGTGTTCAGAGCATAGCTAAAACACACACACACACACACACACACACACACACACACACACACACAACAAATGCTGTCTAACTGTGCATGATTGCTGACTGTGAATACCTACAATGTCATGGTAAATTCACTGGATGCCATAAATTAATTCTTAGGTTACTTCCTATCTGTTTGTAATTATTTTTTTCCTGAAATTGATGGGTAGTTAAATGAATTTGTCTGCCTTTTAGAGGTTGAATTTAAAATGTATTAGTTCTCAATATAGAGCACAGTGTTCTTCCTTGGTAAGAAAAAAAAAAACTGTTCCCTGGTGTGAAATGTTGCTCTAACCCACAACGATGGCTCTAGTTTAGCCTGCTGATAAAGAGTGGCTCAGCCCATTACCCAAATAGTTAATTAATGCCTTTCCTTTTAAATAAGAATGTAAGCCTGGATCCTTTCCTCCCCTCGCCTTTCTAATTCCATAAAATTGTAAATGATGACTAGGCAGTGCTATCCAAATAGAACCATTACTTCCGAGTTTCTACTAAATGCAGGGGAAAGCACTATGTAATGGGATAATCAGAAGACGAGATTGGAGCACTGTCAGCATGTTAGATGGGAATCAAACGAGAAAAGGTTATTTGCGAGACTACATCTTTGGAATCACAAATAATATCAGAAACTATTTTTATCTGCGGGGTTCTATTTGGCTCTCATGTAGAGTGCACGCGGATAAGGGAAACCACGAAGTGAAAAATATGTGAGGGCAAAATGAAAGGAGATGGAAAATAGAAGTGGAAATGGGTGTAGGAAAAGTAGGAATTAAGTCATAAAAGAATCACATTTCTTGCTGTGAATGCCGACAAGAATGAAATGAAAGGGTCAGGAGCAGTGCCTACATTAGAATAACGTGTAAGGGAGGAAAGTGCTAAAAAAACCTCAGAGGATGCTAGAGGTAAGAGAAAAAATCTATAAAATTGAAAAGACATGACCCCACCCAAACAGACACCAGGAAACAGAGCTGACAGCCACTGAAGGTTAGTTGACCCAACTGTACCCTGGACATGAAGCTCTCACTAAACTTATAGGTTCATTTTATAAGCTCCTTAATATGTATCAGACAATTCAAAGAAAGCTTGTTGATTTGCATATGAGATACAAGAAAGTCTGTCAAACCACTTTGCACAAACAGGGGATGAAGAAGAAATTCATTAAAAACAATTTCCCCCACACCTCCCGATGTGTCCATCCGTAAGCAAATGGTGGGATAGCCTCCCTGAGATGAACCTATTTTTCTAAAACTATCGATACTAAGCAGAGCATACAATTCCAGCCATCAAAAGCCCCAAGGTCATATGGAAAATGAAAAAGTGTTAGTTGCATGTATCTCTTATATAAACCTTGAACGCTTGGTGATAGATTGATTTACTGCTTTTATTCTTTATGCGCCAGCCATCTCCACCTGTGGCAGAGTAGCTAACCTCGGTGACAAGCTACTGGAAGACAGGGAGTAGGTCTATGTAGGACGATAGTGACCACCTTCTTGATTAACGGTGGAAAAATAGCTCCTCTTAAAGAAGGTTCTCCAGTCCCATGGGTTTACTTGACATGCCCCCCATATGCATCAGCCATTTTAACGATGTTCACACTGTCACTTCTAGCTGATAAATCACTACCCTTCCCTCTAAGCACACCCACAGTAAACCCCAACACTTCCACAAGGCTCTCCCCATGTTTCCAGTTTCCCATGTTTCCTTGCTTTTGGTACTCCAGTGACAGTCTCAGTTTTAAGCACTCTTGTAGCTACATTATAATGTCACATGCACATGTACAGGGTGGGGACAGTGGTGGTGGCTAGGGCGATGGGTTCTAGGGGAGCAAACACATTTAAAAAGTCATCACTTTGATTCCTCTTTATCAGTGGTTCTCAACCTTGGCTGCACATTAGAATCACCTGGGAATCTTTTTAAAATCATTTTAAATTTGATCTATATGTTTCCTATTCTCTCATTCGAGCATAGCTCCCCCCCCTTTTTTTTTTTACCTCAGTCTTAATACCATATGTGTTTACTTTTTATCTTAAGTAATATTGAGAATATGCTCAAAGAAACACAATTTGTATTCTGCATACCTAAATATGCTTTTCTATCAGCGTATTTAACCAGGACTCAGATCTGGAATAGCAGTGTTATTTATGTGACTACTTAAAAAAGAAACGTGTGAGTCTTAGGCAGGGACGACGTTTCTATGATGTCTGTATTTCACAAGACAGGGAGTGGAGGGTAGTGCTCAATAAGCACTTGTTGAATTAAACTAATTTTTGAATGTGCCCAGGTTGGTAAATGACTCTTAGTTAATTTTCTAGAGAAAATAAGCCCACTAAATGGAACACGTAAGAGGTACTTTACAAAGCTCAAAGGACAATAAGAAGGAATAGAAATGAAAACTTTTCTTTCCATTATGGGCTTTGGTGAGGAATAGCAATCACTATTTTATCAAAAGGCACTACGTGATGATTTTGTTAATGGAAAAAAAGGCCATCCCTTAACAATTGTGAGAATTGTCTCCTTAGAGCCCTTGTCCACCAGGCAAAGGAATCTTACCTAGAGGATCCACAACACCTGGAAGAGGCAAAAAGGCAGCTCACTCATTTGTGGAATATAAAGAACATTATGAACTGATGAATAAAAATAGATACAGAGGCAAAGAATCATTGAACAGACTGTCAAACTACAGCAGGAAGGCAAGGGAGGGCTTGGCGGCGGGTAAGAGATGAACCGAAGGACTTGTATGCACGCATATAAGTATAACCAATGGACACAAGACACTGGGAGGGAGGGTGAGGGAATGTGCTGGGGGGTAGGGGAGGCTGGGGGGAGGTCAATGGGGAAAAAAAGGGACATATGTACTACTAATTGTAATACTTTAAACAATAAAATAACATTAAAAAAATGCACTACCCAGATGCCCGATTTCTTCTCCTGTCAGCTCTCTATGTTCTCCATATTTCATACTGCTACTCAGTTGCTGATTATAGTTTTATAATGAAAATGTGTTAAAACACGGGCTTTATCAGGGAATCATATGGAAATGTTCTGAAGGAAAGAAATGAGCCATGGGGAAGTTAAATGAAAATCATGTGTTAATGGCATGAATTAGGAAGAAAATAACAGAGTTTAATAGGGCCATCGATGCTAAAAATGCCACTGAAAAGTCTAGATCCTCTGAGAGAGGTAACATTACATTCTCCTGGTAATGAGTCCTATTTATTACTTCTTCATTGGGGAATTCTGTTTTTATATTTTGATAGTTCGGGAGTCATAATCATAAATGGATTCACTGAGTCAATCTTTTAATAATTATTAAGTAGGCCACTGCTCATGGTAACTGATCCATTTAACTTGGTATTGTTTTCTGATACCACTCTTCAACTTCAGACTGACTCCAGTTGGGGAAACAATTGGAATCAAATTGGGCATCAGTGACTGTCATTATTACAGATCAGAATCTTAGGCTTCAAGGGCTCAGATAAGGCAAACAATCCAACAAGCACAATAATAACAAAGACAAATCAAGGAAAAGTCATGGTCTCAGCTTTTCTGTAGAGGCAACCCTTTGCTCCAGTGAAGCTGCTATCAAGTCCAAGGACTCTGTGGCTACTTTGCATTTGAAAATTGGTTCAAAGGCCCATCTAGGGCCATAGTCAAGGGCTGTCTCATGGGAAGCAGACAGGAACTGGTCCCCTGGGGTGATGAGCTCACAAAGCATTAAGGATTCCCCTCTCCTTCAGATGCTGTGAGCCCTTAACATAAGATGTACAAACTTGCCTCTGCTCAGGCCTAGGGTCCTCATCCCTTATCTAGGCTTTCCCTTTTTCCTCCTCGAGGCCTCATACTTTCCCTTCAGAAGGATCTTCTAGGCAACACCTTCCTTCAAGATACCAAATTTGCCCCTTTCCTTTTTCAATCAGAAACTTAAGTTATACTCTCCTCCATTAGGACCTGTCTGACTGACTGGAAAGTACCACATTTACACAATTACCCATTAACTTTTTGCTTCCATTTTTATTAATCAGGCATTTAAATCTGTTTATTCACAGTGTAACATATGCAATTGAACCCAGGAGCTTTGGACTGTGTCCATCATAGTCCCCGGTCAGCACCATAATGCTGTGTAAAAGATTATAGCTTATAAGAGACATTCTATGTCTTAGGTCTTGATTATCACAGCCATTTGAGTTAGACAATATTGGTCTGACCTCTATTTACAGGGAAAAATAACTAACATTTGCAGAGGCTAAATTAGTCATTCATGGCTGGTCCCCAAAGTGAGATTGAGTATCCCAATCTGGTGATGCTAATTGTGCACTGGCTGCCTGTTTAGCTGGTTCAGGCACATCACCATGCACTGAGAGACCGTCAATATCTTCTCAGTGACAAAGGTGATGCTAATATCCATA